TTTCTCCATGATGGCCAGGCTGGTCTTGAACTCCTGACCTCAGGTGATCCACCCACCTCGGCCTCCCAAAGTGCTAGGATTACAGGCGTGAGCCACCACGCCTGGCCTGAAAATATTTTTTAATGACACATTTAAAGGTGCATTAAAATAGGAATGACTCAAATACCCGTGACAATCAGGGACAAACATTCTAAGAACTGAAAATCTATAATTAAAACACACACACACACACACACACACACACACCTTGATTTTAAATTTGTTTTAATTTCCCCAGGAACTACCATACCTCCTTAGAAATTACAAAATGGACAGGTTTTGAATTTTGCCTCTCACATCCATGATTATTACTCACCAGGGGAGATAGTCACAAGAAATAAATCTGACAAAAGGTAGGCCAGAACCGAGGGATGCAGGCAACTCAATTGGATAATCAGAAACTGGCTATAAATTTGAAACACACTAAAATCCCATTACAGCTCAGAGCCTTGGGTATAAGACTTATGATTTATGAGTGAGCTAGGTAATTATCACGTGTATTCCATGGTTGTTAACCCAACATGACAAGAGAGATGGGGATGGGAGAAGGCTGTATATTACCTCTATTGCCGCCGACTTTATTATGCTTACATCCACAAGGCTCAGAAAGTGATTCCCAGAATTTCAGAGCATCAGCAAATACAACCGTTTCCAGAAAGCGGAATGATGGTAGAGCCACAGCATCCCCCCTTCCCAGGGAACCTGGCCACCACTGATGGATACAGGAGTTCAGAAGAAATCATGTAGGCAGATAATAAGGGGATGTGAGTCCTCAGTAAGGCTTTTCTCTTTAATGAAAAGCAGCCCAAATCATTTCTGAACAAAGAGCAGCCTGTAAAGTCCAGCTGCACAGACAAGCAAGCTGGGAGCTTCCCCGGACATGTTCAAGATGGAGGCTCCATCTTCCCTTCTCTTTTGTCAGCCATGTGTACAGCAAGGAGCAGACAAGACGGGGCAGGCAAAGGAGATTACATTTGCATAGTAAGATTAGGGTGGGGAGACCAGCCTTCCCCCTCCACTCCCCAGCATCATGTAAACATCATGCCTGATCCAACCAATCTGTGAGCCCTATGTAAATCAGACCTCCTCACCATGGACTATAAAATCCGGAGCATCCACCACCAGCTGGTCTTTTCCACTTGGACTCCCTTCTATCTCTATAGAGAGAGCCGTTTCTCTTTCCCTTCTCTTCTGACTATTAAAGCTCTGCTCCTAAACTTCTCATGTGTGTCCATGTCCTAAATGTTCCTGGTGAGAGATGACGAACCCCAGGATATATACCCCAGACAACACAGCTGCTTCAAAAACAGCATGGTAATTGAAGATGTTCTTTTAGGAAAACTGAGGCTGTGAAAAGCAACTCAGTTGTAAGGCTTTTCAAATTTTATGAGAATCTCTTGATCAGCAGATCAGGACAAAGCCAAAATATAAAGCATCTGTGCTGGATTTCAGTGTTCCCATCTGTATTGTCAGAACTCCTTTTTTTCTCCCATCCATTTTTTCCCCTATCATAGCTTCTCCAGATAGATATCAGGAAGGGATCTAATAAAAGAATTACAGAATGTCAATGTTTTTTGGAGGGGGGCGGGAGACTAGGTCTTACTCTGTCACCCAGGCTGAAGTGCGGTGGCACAATCACAGCGCACCACAGCCTTGACTTACCAGGCCAAGAGGCCTGGTTACCTTTTACATTTTTAACAAAAGACTTCAAAACGAGTGCTTTACTCAAGTGAGAAAGTCTCATTGGGACTTTACTGACATAATGGCACCCAGGAGTTGGGAAGCCCTTCTTAGTCCCTTGAAGTAATTTTCTGTATATTCAAGTGTAATATTTCCATAAAGATTAACCTAGTAAGACACAATGCCATGTATTCCACGTTTGGATGATAACAAGCAATACTATTTAGTACCCAAAACTGGAGTTCAGTATGATAAAGACAGCTCAATCTGTCTTTATCAGATTATCATAAACCAAATAGTCTTTATCAGAAAGAACAATAATTCTTTTTCAAATACTCAATTGGAACATTTTAAAAATGTTTTTTGGTTATGTAGATTTGTTCTTTTTTGAATGGTCTACTCATATCCTTTTCTCCACTTTTCAATGGAAATTGTTTGTCTTTTTCTTGTCAGGTTGTGAAAGCACTTTGTATATTCTTACATGTACATGAGGTGGATTGAAATCCAGGTTGTATACCCTTCCACTAGGAGGGTGAATCCAACGACGGCTGAGACGATCTTTAAGTGTTTCAAATGGAATGTTCAAACTGATCACTAGATCCACTTCACAGATTTTGTCCAGGGCTTCCGCTTGTCCTAATGTCCTAGGAAAACCTAAATGCCAAAAACAAAACGAGTCAAATGCAAGATATTTTCCAATTCCAATTAGTTCCTGAAACATTCTCAGTGACAGAATTAAATCTGTATGTACCATTCTAAAAGGAGCTTTACATTATCTAGGTGATGGGATCATTTGCATTCCAAACCTTGGCACCATATAATAAACCCATGTCACAAACCTGCACATGTATCCTCTGAATCTAAAAGTTGAAATTATTTTTTAAAAAAGAGCTTTAACCAAGAATATCTATCTCTATAAATGTAATATTAAAATAAAATATGCTATTCTATAACCTAGCTTCTGGATTTGGAAGATGCAAAGATTAAGGCATCACCTGATAAAAATTTAAAATGCACTAAACTAAAAATCACTAAACCAGTCCTGACTCTAGTCCTTTCTCTGCTCTTAACTACCTGTGTGACCTCAAGCAAGTTACATCACCTCCATTTCCACTTCTGTTAAAGAAGTGAAGGGAAAACATCATATCTTACATCCTTTTAATGCTAACAGTTTATGAGTAGGTTCTTAGGTTAGCAAAAATAACTATATTTATTTTAGAGTATATATCAATTAAACTATCATCTTCCATTCACTTCACCTGAGTCTGCACTTTAACCAAGGCAGGCAATCTGATTAACAGCATGGTGACAATCATAAATATTTTATTGCATATTTGAAACGTGCTGAGAGTTGATTTTAAGGATTCTCGCCACACACACAAGAAATCACATGTATTGTGGGGTGAAGGATATGTGATTAATTATTAAACTTGACTGTGGTAATCATTTCACACTATACGTATCAAAACATCACGCTGTATACCTTAAATATATAGACTTATCAAGTATACCATAATAAAGCTGGAAAAAAATTTAAAGTAAGTTGTTTGAAGTCTGTTTAAAGAGTTTAAAAGGAACTAGTGTTTTTAAATCTACTGCGATGCTGCAAAATTTATTCTTCCTACTTTTCTAAATGTGGAAATAACAAAATTAAAATTTGGCCTCGTGGGCATCTCTTCCTTTTCTGATTGCAGCATAAGCTCTGGGTGACCTCAGGAGTTAGGTCACATGACCCCAAATTACACTTTTCTTCAGAGATTGACCTGTCTAAATGTAACTCCAGGTTTGCCTCTGGTGGGACTGCATTGTGGTAACTTTTTCCTAAATAAATCACTCCAGTTTATCTGCTCTGGCAAAAATCTTGCCGGATCTAATGTCACTTTTTAAAAAATGTCTTTATATCATAGTTAAGTAAAAGAGCCAGGTAGATGAAGAGCTGAAAGTATAATAAAAGATGCAACATCTGGAAGAGAAATTTTTAAATCCATTCAGATAAGGATACCAGCCCATCTCTACCCTTTCAAAATTGGAAGTATCAAGATGGCAACTTAAAAATGGGTATTCATGGCCCTGCAGCACTTTCAGTTCAAAGAACTCATTTCCTTACTGCAGGAAGTTGGTGGCTCAAACACGAATGTGCAGCACTGCATTGAAATCTCTAAGTCTGTATGAATGCCAAGCTGATTTCTGAGTGCCCACTGAGTTGAACGTGACAAAATGCACCCATGCTACTGCTTCAGATACCTACTGCAAACTTTCCTATGCTCCCTCCAAAGCTTTCCTTACTGCCTGTGGGCCATCCACATAAAGTTCCCTCTTAATGACTGTCGGGTTCTGCCTTTCCCTGGACAATTCACTCTTTACTAAAATGTCAAGAGGACAACTGCAATAAAAAGGTGTCTGCAAGGCCAGACACGGTCGTTCGTGCCTGTAATCGCAATACTTTAGGAGACCGAGGCAGTGGGATCACTTGAGGCCAGGAGGTCAAGACCAGCCTGGGCAATGTAGAGAGAACCCATCTCTACGAAAAATAAAAATTAAAAAATTAGCTGTTACTGGTGGTGCATGCCTATAGTCCCAGGTACTTGAGAAGCTGAAGCTGAGGTGGAAGGATCACTTGACCCCAAGGAGATCAAGGCTGAAGTGAGCTACAGTCACACTACTGCACTCTAGCCTGGCTGACACAGTGACATAGTGAGCTCCTGTAGAAAGAAAAGAAAAGAAAGAAGAGAGAAAAGAAAAAAGGAAAGAAGGAAAGGAAGGAAGAAAGGGAAGACAGAGAAAAAGAGAAAGAAACAAAAAAGAAAAGAAAGGAACCTACAACCCAGACAACCTCAAGATCATCTATAAACTCTTCCCCCCCAGACCTCCACCATATCAATGAAAAGCATTTTCTAAAGCAGTGGCTTCAAAAGTCATCTTCATTAGAATACAGAAAAAAAATATTTGAACTTTGGGGTAGGGGGACGCAAGAAGGGGGAGGCTCGTTCTTTTAAAAGAATGTCATATTAGTGGCCAGGTGTGATGGGTCACGCCTATAATCCCAGCACTTTGGGAAGCCCAGGCAGGTGGATCACTTGAGGCCAAGAGTTTGAGACCAGCCTGGCCAACATGGCAAAACTCTGTGTCTACTAAAAATAGAAAAATTAGCTGGACACGGTGGCACATGACTGTAATCCCAGCCACTACGGAGGCCAAGGCACGAGAATTGCTTGAACCGGGAGGCAGAGGTTGCAGTGAGCTGAGCTCGTACCACTGCACTCTAGCCTGGATGACAGCATAAGAATGTCTCAAAAAAAATAAATAAATAAAATTAAAAAAAAATCACATTAGTGAAATTGCATGGGTAAATAATTTATACATAATTATTCATACATTGAAGATGTAAATTCAACCTTCTCACTGATAAATATAAGCAAAGAATTTTAGAGATCTCTCTTTTAAAGACCTGAAATCATCTCTCTTCCTGCCGCCCAAGATGCCGAAAGGAAAGAAGGCCAAGGGGAAGAAGGTGGCTCCGGCCCCTGCTGTTGTGAAGAAGCAGGTGGCCAAGAAAGTGGTGAATCCACTATTTGAGAAAAGGCCTAAAAATTTTGGCATTGGACAAGACATCCAGCCCAAAAGAGACCTCACCCGCTTTGTGAAATGGCCCCGCTATATCAGGTTGCAGCGGCAGAGAGCCATCCTCTATAAGCGGCTGAAAGTGCCCCCTGCAATTAACCAGTTCACACAGGCCCTGGACCGCCAAACAGCTACTCAGCTGCTTAAGCTGGCCCACAAGTATAGACCAGAGACGACGCAAGAAAAGAAGCAGAGGCTGTTGGCCCGGGCCGAGAAAAAAGTGGCTGGCAAAGGGGACGTCCCCACTAAGAGACCACCTGTCCTTCGAGCAGGAATTAACAGCGTCACCACCTTGGTGGAGAACAAGAAAGCTCAGCTGGTGGTGATTGCACACGACGTGGATCCCATTGAGCTGGTTGTCTTCTTGCCTGCCCTCTGTCGTAAAATGGGAGTCCCTTACTGCATCATCAAGGGGAAGGCAAGACTGGGACGTCTAGTTCATAGGAAGACCTGCAGCACTGTCGCCTTCACACACGTTAACTCGGAAGACAAAGGTGCTTTGGCTAAGCTGGTGGAAGCTATCCGCACCAACTACAGTGACAGATATGATGAGATCTGGTGTCACTGGGGAGGCAATGTCCTGGGTCCCAAGTCTGTGGCTCGCATCGCCAAGCTAGAAAAGGCAAAGGTTAAAGAACTTGCCACGAAACTGGGTTAAATGTAAATAACTGTTTCTGTAAATAAAAATAATTAATGCAAAAAAAAAAAAGGACCTGAAATCTTAGCCACACTCCCTTCCTTGTGTTCTAGCATCACTAACTGTGACTCTAACAAGAAAACAGTCTTTATATCCTTCAGATAGAGGTTGGGAGCTGGGGGTGGGCGTGGGGTGGGAGGGAAGCACTAGAAAATAATAGGAAGCTCTAAAAGATAATATAACATTAGTTCCTCCAACGAATAAAAGCTCAAATCTTACTGGCTAGTCTTCTTGTCTAATGAGGGTACAAGCCAGTCTGCTCAGCTTAGCTCTGGAGCCCTCTAGAGGAGGAAAATGCAAAGTGTACAAAATAAGCTGAACTCAGCAAGACAAATTTCAAAAACATATTGGATAGCACCTGCTACCTACTGGACTGGCACATTCAGACCTGCTAATGACCACAGATGATAATTAATTCCGGCTTTAGACTACAAGCAACAGGTTCCTGAAGTTGGTTTAGAAGGAACAACTATAGAAATAAACCATTCCACAACTTGAAGCGTTCTCCATTTGATAGAACACATCAAAATCACCAGGGAAGACTCAAAAGAAAAACAGATGATGATGGATGCTCAGATCCTGTCCCAGACTTCCTAGAGTGGAATATCTAGGAGTCAGATCGGGACTTGGGTATTTCTAATATTTATGCCTGATTCATGACAAACCAGCAAACTACTTAGTGACAGCAAAAGTGCAAGTATGATACTAAACACTTATCCGCCCCGTCTTTCTGTCAGGCTTAACTCTACCTCCAAGCAGGTAACAAACCCCTTTGAAGAACAAGTTGCCTCTATCTCACTTCATCAGAAGAAAGCTGGGAAGGAAAGTCCCAAACACATGCAAATCTTTTCAGATTTACGAAGTCCCTAACTTAGTCACCTGTTTGTGCCATTCCTCTCCAGAAGGGCTCATGTACTTGTCCAGTGTCTTACCTCTAAGGAAAGTGGTGGCAGGGGAGAAAGCATAGTATATTTGTGAGAACAATGGACCAGATAGAAGTCAAAGATCTGGGTGCCACTCACTATTTCAAAAGTGAGGAGCAGCAGCCTTAAGGTAGACACACTCAGGACTCAATATAACATATCAGGTATAGGCACAAGCTTTGGAATCAAACACACCTGGATTTAATCCCTAGATTTAACTCTGCCTGGAATCAGACACATCTGGATTTAATCGCTGGGCTTAACTCTACCTAGCTATAACTGTGAGAACTTTGGCAAGTTTCATACACTCTCTGATCCTTAGTTTTATTAGATATGAAACAAGGGGCTGGGAACAGTGGTTCACGCCTGTAATCCCAGCACTTTGGGAGGCCAAGAGGGGTGGATGGCATGAG